TGGTACAAAAAAAAAATTAAATAAAAGTACAAAAACTAAATTAATATAAAATACCTAAGGAGATCATAAAGAGGAGGATGAAAACTGTGCCAACTAAGCCACTCTTCTAAAAATAGACAAAAAAAAGCACAAAAATTAGCTAGGCATGGTGGTTCATGCAGGTAATTCCAGAAACTTGGGAGTCAGAGGCAGGAGGATTGCAAGTTCAAGGTCAGCCTCAGCAACTTGGTGAAGCCCTAAGCAATTCAGCAAAATAAAAAAATAAAAAGGGCTGGGAATATGATTCAATGGTAAAGCACCCCTGGGTTCAATCACCAGTACAAAAAAAAAAAAAAGTACAAAAACTAAATTAATATAAAATACCTAAGAAGACCATAAAGGTTCTCTGGCTTCAGGAAATGGGTAAGAGTACTTCTGAAATCAAAAATGTTCTAAAATAAGTTGCACTAAAAAACTCAATTAAAGCACGTCAGCTTACAAAAATAGGAAAAACAGAAACTGATTTTACTTCAATAATACTGAGAAATTGACAAAATACAAATCACTTACGGTTATAAATAATTTTTCAAAAAACTTATTTCTGGGCTGGGGCTCAGTGGTAGAGCACTAGCCTGGCATGCATGAGGCACTGGGTTTGATCCTCAGCACCATATAAAAATAAAATAGAGGAACTGTGTCCACTACAACTGAAAAAAAAAAAACATTAAAAAAAAATTTAGTCCCCCCCCCCCCGCTTTTTTTTTTTTTTTTAACTGGGGATGGAACTGTGAGGGTGCTTAATCACAGAGCCACATATTTCTTTTGGGATTGGGCTGGTACCAAGGATTGATCTCAGAGGCACTGACCACTGAGCCATGTCCTCAGCCCTATCTTGTATTTTATTTAGACAGAGTCTCACTGAATTGCTTAGCACCTTGCTTTTGCGGAGGCTAGCTTTGAACTCACAATCCTCATGCCTCAGCCTCCCGAGGCCCTGGGATTATAGGTGTGGCCATCGAGCCTGGTCTGAGCCACCTATTTTGAGACAGGGTTCACCAAGTTGCTTAGGACCTCAATAAATTGCTAACGCTGGTCTTGAACTTGAGATTCTCCTGCCTCAGCCTCCCAAATTGCTGGGATTACAGGTGTGCACTACGATGTCTGCCTTAAAAAACTTTTTCCTTAAGCATTAAAGTCATTTGCTTGGCATTAATGAATGCATTTAATTTAATGAACTGGCTGAGATTAGGTTTAATATTTGTTTTTATATTTAGTTTTTATGTTCATTTTTTCAGTTTTGGGAATTGAACCCGGAGCACTCTACCACCAATATATGTCTCCTTTATATTTTTTATTTTGAGACAGGGTCTCACTCAGTTGCCTAGGTTGGCCTTGAGCTAATTAAAATCCTCCTGCCTTAGCCTCCTCTGGAGTTACTAGGATTATAGGTGTATACCACTACATCTGGCTCGAAATTTGTTTTTAAAATAAGTGTTTAAATATTTCTTAAAAAATAAAAATTGTGTAATTCTATTCAATTTTGATTTTTGCAATATCAAAAGTTAATAATCAAGAATAAATAATAGAAAACATCGATAAAGTAAATTATGTTCTATTTAGGAATTTTAGTATCAGATAATAATAGTAATAAGAATAAAAAATAATAACCACATCTATCTTTTGGAAGAAATTTTTTGGTAGAGAAGTCAGGAAAAAGGCAGCACTAAATTCAAGGAAAATGAATATTTTGCAATGTACACACAAATCAAAAAACATATATTATAATGTAGAAATCATGATTAAGTGTTATTTGGTCATCTTGGGCTGGATCTCAGCAAGGCCAAAGCAAGCTGGCCTCTTGGGGCAGCCACATAGAACCAGTTGTTTTTCAGTAAAGCCACCACCCACCACCCTGTCAGGAAGTTTGCAAAGACGCCTACAAAAAATGCTCAGGTTTAGCTTCATCTGTGTTTTTAAAAGCCAGTGACAGTGCCTGAGTGAGGATCCCAAGGTGGCACAACCCAGGGACTCCCCAGAGACTCATTTAGCTGAAGAAATCAGGCTCAGACCCCTGGAGTTAATGAAACAAAACTGTATTTAATGAACAACAACATCGTAGGTTACAGGCCTGGACAGTGGGGGACTCAAAAAAAAAGGGGGGGACAGTAAGGGCTGTGGCACTTTGGGGGGAGCAATGTCACTACCTCTTAGCACCTCTCCCCTGAAGAGGGATTCATGTGATTCCCCTGTCCAAGAGGGCAGCATGGCAGGAGAACTGCCCCATCTCAAGGTGGGAAACTTGAACTCCAGGTAGTTTATCAGCTTACCCAAAGCCACATAAGGTTCCTGTACTGCTCTTGTACACCATGACCCAGCTCAGAGGCGACATGACTAGACAGGCAAAAGGGGATGAACCCCTCACAGGAAGGGCAAGCATGGTGTTGGAAGAGGCATTAGTGCAGTGCACAGTGACAATGAGAGGTGCTGGCTGCAGCTAGGTGGGACTAGGCATCTATCCTATTTCCCAGGTCTCAATGGCCCAACATCCACTTGGGTCACTGCTTCTCCCCTCTTCTCTCTGGTGTCCAGACCCTCAGGACTGGCTGAGGGAGTTCACAGGGCAGAATTGGAGGGTACAGGGAGGTATACTCCCTGTAGTGCTCAGAGAGAGGTATTCCCTTGGCACCTGCCATGCACAAGGCCAGCACAGGGCTCAGGCAGTGCAGGTGCCCAGGGGCCTGAAGGATCTAAGGGGAGGGGGCAGGACACAGAAAACCATGACATGTGGCCAGCCACAGTGCCAGGAGAGGCATATAGAGAACGGATGTAGTAGGCAGAGAAGTCCAGGAGGTGTTATGTGGGCAGGACCTAGGGAAGTGCAGGGCCCAATAAGGAGAAGTAGGGAGGGCAGGACTGAGGCAAGCATCCATGCTGAGGGGTCTGAGTTTGACCCTGGCCTGGCGGCCATTGTGACAAAAGAGAAAAACAGGATGACTGCAGAGACTGTGGGAGGCTCAAGGAGGCCACGGAGATGGAAAGAGGAGGGCTGAGAAGCCACAGCGAGTCCAGGCATCTCTGGGCAGGCCTCTGGAAATGGCACTGGCTGTTTGGGAGGTTGATCAAAGAAAGTCCCTTCTGGGGCCACCTCTTCAGGTGGACTTGCAGCAAGGAAAGGCCCACCAAGAGCTTCAGGCTCTGCAGAAATACAAGGACATGTCACGTTCCCTCCAGCCCCCACCCCACCGGCCTTTGACCCTCTCTAGGGGAATAGGGGAGCAATGGGTCTCAGCACAAATCCTGCCCTCCGCTTTCCCACTCTACAGTAGCAAATGTAGCCCAGCAAAGTCTCAGAGTGGAGTTACTGCTGGAGAGGAGACCCCCAGGGAAGGAGGGACTTGACCAGAGGCCTGGGGAGATGCTCTTGGGGAGGGAAGTGGGATCCTACCGGGGAACAGTGCCAAGGGCACCTGTTCTCAGGACCAATCCTTGGGAGACATCAGGTCCCCTCCAGAGGGGAGTGACACCTTGCAGCACCAGTAGGGGGCACCACAGCTACACACTTGGTGGAAGGTTCCTCTGTCTTTCCATCCCCCTCATCAGGGCCTGAAGCCCCAGTGGCAGCAAGATGTAGATCCCCAACCTATATAGCCTTGGGCAGATTCCTCCACAGAGAGCCATGGCCTTCAATTGGGAAGGAGTGTGCCTTCTATGCAAGCACTGTGCTGGCCTGAGCCCCCTGAGCTCTAACCCAGAGGCAGGTGGGATCAGGGAGCCTCTTCCAAGTAGAAGGAGCAGCTAGTCCAAGCAGGCTTGGCCAGGCTTGGCCATGGTAATCCAGCTGCAGGCCAATACTGCTCACCACCTAGGGGCGGGTTTCACTCCCTGCTCCTGGAAGAGGTGACCCAGCCTCTACCCCACCACCCCACAGAGGCAGCTCAGTCACCATCAGCGCAGGCCCATCACTGGGTATCAGGGTCTTGGAAGCCCCAGGCCTCCACAGCAGCGATGAGGAAGTTCTCTGAGCAGAGGGGCTGGTTGTTGAAAGTGTCGCAGTGTCCCGTGCGGCCCCGGTTCAGGTCCCCGTCGATGTAGAGCGCCTGGCCACCCCCTCCCCCTACAGGGTGCTCATGTCAGTAGCAGCCTCTCTGTCCCCACCCACAACCCATCAGCACTGCCCTTGAGGTATCTCTGCCTAGACTGGGCAACCTCAGAAGTCCTTGCCAGAGGCCTCTCTAAAGCCTCTGGCAAGTGGTCCCTTTAGGCCTTGCCTAGCATGTGCAAGGCCCAGCATCACAAAAATAAATGCATAGGTACATAAAACCACAGGCTGACCTTTGAACCTCCACAGTACCCTGGGCCTGGCTGTCCAGGTAGACCCCTGCTTCCTAGTCTATTTATCCCAATCCTCACTCACAATCCTCCATGCCCTCCCCCCAGGGTAGGTGGAAGAAGTGGGTTCCTACCGATGATGAGGCAGTCAGTGCCCCCAGCCATGAACATGGACTCAGTCTTGGAGGGCAGGTTGAAGTGCCGAGCTGCCAGGAATGGTGAGAGTCGGTCAGCTGGGTCTGAACAGCTGGAGTGGGAGGATGTGCAGGGTACCGGCTTGATAAGCTCTGGGTGCTTGATGACTACCCACTCGTAACGCTGCACCTCTGGCTGCAGCTGAGGGTGAATGGGCATGAGTTACTGGCATGCAGTGCCCCAGTGAGCCCCTTCTGTCCTCCAAAACCAAGGCCCATCCCCATTCCATAGATTGGCTATGAGCCAGGGGCTGAAGAAATGACAACACACAAGCAGATGAGGTCCCACTTGCTCATAGGCACTTGACAGTGTGATCAAAACCCAGAAGTTGTGCTAGGCAGTGGCACACACCTCTAATCCCAGTGACCTATGAGGCTCACAGGAAGATCACAAGTTCAAGGCCTGCCTCAGCAATTTAATGAGGCCCTAATTAACTTACTGAGACCCTGTCTAAAAATAAAAAATAAAAAAGGGCTGGGGATGTAGCTCAGTGTAACTCTGGGCTCAATCCCCAGTACTGGGAAAAAGAAAAAAATCATTTATAGCTAGGTGCAGTGGCACTTGCTTGTAATCTCAGTGACTCAGGAGGCTAAGGCAAGAGGGTTGCAAGTTCAAAGCAAGGCTTTGCATCTTAGTGAGATTCTGTTTCAAAATATAAAATAGAAAGGGCAGGTATCTGGCTCAGTGGTAGAGCACTTTGGGTTCAATCCCCAGTACCAAAAAAAAAAAAAAAAAAGCAGAAGGAAAATATCCTGTAGGGTAACTGCTGTAGTGAAATGAAACTTGATCATGTGAGCTGGGGTACCAGGGCAAGGGCCTGCCAACTCCTGAGCTCCCCCTGGGAGCTTTGGTGAGGTTGAGGGACTGGGAACAACCCTGGCCCAGGGTGACTGCTGGGCCTACACGGGGGGCCCTGGGCTCAGCCCCACTCACCCTAAATACAAAGCACTCTCCAGTTCCGAAGAAGGACAGTTTGCCTCCATACTTGTTTCTCTCACTCCAGTCTGTTGATAGATAAGCTCCACACACCTGAGGAAGAAGGTCAGGCTACCCCAGGAAGGTTCCCTTGTTCAGGCCTACTGAGGTACCAAGTCACAGGCCCCAGCAGGGCATGCAGTGTGTCACAGTCCCCCCACCCACCCACCCACACCAAGTGCAAAAGGGATGTGGAAAGGGCTAAGTTTTGAAAAGTGCACCCTTCCACACCACAGGTTGAAGCTGGCCATGGGGTGGATGCCTCTGGGACATTTCCATCTCCCTTAGTGGCCCTCAAGCACAGGATGAGCTCCATGCATAGGACACATCCACATTTGGATTTTGGTATCCCTGGGAGATGCAGCCTCTCCCAGGTTCATCACAGTCCAGGTCCCAGACTCCCTTGGGTCCTCCTCACCTCCTTCTGTGTGGTCTTGATGAGCAGGAGGGTAGGTTCGTGTCCCTCACAGTGGAAATAGAACCTGGGGGCAGAGACCACAGATGCTACTCTGCTGCCCTCCCCACTGTCTCCTGCCAGCCTCTGCTGACTCTTAGCCCAGGCTGTCAAGGGTGCTAAGGATCTGGCAATGTCCTCATCAGGTGCTCTTCTCACCTGGCCTTTTTCGGACATTCTGGGCTGTCTACCCCAGTTGGATGGAAGAGAAGCCTCATAGCAGATGGCCCCCTGAGGGCAGAGCCCAGAGCCAGGTGCTACAGGGAAGCAAGAACCAGAGGAACAGGTCCTCACTGTAGGAAAGCTGGGCACATCCTCAGGGGCTGGGCATGTGGGGCGACCCACAGCTTCCAGTGTGGTGCACAGTGCTCGGCTGGTATGCTTGGTGGGGGTTGGGCAAAGTAGCTCCAGCTATGCCAAAATGCTTACATGGTTGCAGACAGGGCCTGGGGTGAAAGCTAGGCCAGATCTGCCCAAATCACCCAGCCAGGTCTCTTGTGACACCAGCTAGAGTTTCTGAGGCTACCTGCCATCTGAGACTTGAGGTGCTGAATACCAGCCAAACCTGGCTGAGGTTTTTTGGTGGTAGTGTGCTTGGGGAAACCCCCTATCAGAGCAATGCACAGGACCCTAAGCTATGGCCTAGGAGGCAGTGATCTCCAAAGTGTGGGAAGCCTGGAAATGACAAAAGTTCAGACAAGGGGCTTCTGATTCTTGGAGCCCACAGGAAGAGGTAGGGCCTTACCAGGGGCTCAGGTGCAAAGGCTTTTCCAACCACCCCTATGAACTCCTGGAAGTCATGGCAGGACATACCCAGGGCACCAAGTGGGCCTCACCTGCTTAGACTGTACCCATGCTGCAATGAGGAGAAAAGTAGAAGGGGCTGGCAAAGGGCAAACCGCTCAGGGACCCAAGACCAGATATCTCTCATCTCCTTCACGCTGACAATCTCAGAGCGGAAGTTCTCTGCATGGACGGCCAGGTGCACAAACTGCCTGGGGAGAGCAGAAAATGTCAGAGCCTGCAGTGACCTGACTGTATTCCCACCCAGGTCTCAGAGCTACTCTTTGTAACCAAGCCCAGAGGGGACATCTCATCTACTCAACCAGGTGTACTGCCTGATTCTAGGGCCTGGATACAAAGAATGGGGCACAGCTGTTCCCAAAAGCCCCACCTCCCACCTTCTAAAGGGGCAGAGTGCCCAGACTGGGGGTGTCAAAAGCACCTTTTCTCTAAGAAATCAGGACAGAAGGACAAAGTTGCAGGGCCAGCCAAGTACCAGCAGATGGCACAACTGAGGTAGACAGACAGACAGATTGTGCCTGAGTGTCAGGCTGAGGAAGTGGAAGCTGGTTCATAAGAACCAGCCAGGCCCTGGGAAATAGCAAGAGTTGGTTCAGAGCTGGCTGCCAAAAAGGTGGAGAAGTCAGGCACTGAGGTGTGCTTTTAGACCTACCTTTTAGAAAGTGAGACACTGAAAAACAGGAGGAAGCAATGGACATGGAGAAGAAAAAAGAAAATAAAACAGACAAGAAGAGGTTAGTGGCAGATACCAATCTCAGGGTGTGCCTTTTTCTGGCCCAGGAGAAAGAAAACTACATGCAACAGTCACCCATGGCATAATCCCAGTGTCAGCTGCTGAACACCGTGACCCTTCCCAACCCTGCTCCCCAGGAGCTACACTCAGGGCAGGGAGACCACATCAGCAGCCATGAGAACAACCAGCCATGAAGCTGCTCTTACATGACCGCTGAGAGGCCAGCCTGGCCCCTATGGACTTTCTGACCCTCTGTTGCTGTCTAGCTTCCATCTCAGCCATTGACTTTAGTCCCTGAGGACAGGCCCTGGCATGTCTTGCTGTGACAGTAACTAGGAAGGCTCTTCCTGCTTTTTAGTGTCTTTCTACCCATATGTGTACACATGGACAGACCGAGACTGATAGAATAAGCTCAGGCTCAGACTTCCAGGATGTAATCCACCAGAACCCCCACTCTTGCCTGGGTCCCTTGCAGCCTGCCAGAGGCCACACACACACACAACACACACACACACACAGCCTGGGGCTGCTTACCTCTTCTGCTTGACCGTGATACCTTTCTGCTTCAGTGCTTTCTCATTGGCCATCTGCAGGAGTTGGATCTCCTTGCGGGAGAAGAGACGGATGGCAAATGCTTTCTCTAGCAGCTTCTCAGGGGACACCGTCTTAGCAATATCCTTGACAAACATGCGGATGTCCTGCTTTACATTGTCTGACTCAAAAGGCTGACCAGCTCTCACCTTGTGAAAGAACTTGAGGATGGCCAGAGCGACGCGGTATAACACCTTGTAGCCTTCCACCAGGAAGACATCAAAGACACGGGCAAAGTAGTTGAGGGGCAGCTCTCCAAACAGCCAGCGCTGCCAGTCAGAGTAGACCTGCAGGACATCCTCTGACACAGCCACCATCAGCTTGTGGGCCGCCTGGCAGTACTTGTTTACCAGGTCCCCAAATGTCATACAGGATGACTCAAAGGCCAGGAAACTCTGGTCAATTAGCTTCTTGCTGGGGTCATTGCAAGCCAGGATGCGGCAGGCTTTCTCGAAGCATTCAGCCTCATCAATGCTGTAGTGAAGTAGCAGGGCCACTACGGCTGGCAGGGCAGGGCAGAAGGAGATGTCAGGGAACTGGTTGGCAATGCACAGGAGGATTTTGCGCACGGCACCCTCGCCCCGAGCATTCAGGCAATAGATGGGCACCTGGGTGTTGTCCACAAACTCTGGCAGGGGCAGGCTACTGCTGCTGTGCTTGCCCACAATTTTGCCCACAATGTCACTGTACACACTGGCGTCAGGTGTGACTGTGCGGCAGGGGATGTCCCGGATCAGACGCTGGTACACCTTTCCCCTCAGGGCGTGGCTCTGAGCCCAGTATCCCTGGCGTGCCAGCTGCTTTAGCTCCTGCAGCTCAGTGCAGCTTAGTTCCTTTGGCCCCAGGTCCTGGATTGCAGCATCCATTTTGTCTCTGTCCACAAAGCAGTTGTACCCTGGGGAATCCATGGTGTTGGTATGCCAGGGAGAAGGGCCCCAGGCTGCCAGGATGGGCGTAAAGAGTAGCTAGATCCTCCAGACCCCTCTATAGAGTTTGCTTGCTAACCTGTCTGCCATCCCACACCCTGTAGAATTAAAAAATATTTTTAGTACATGTGTTTGAAAAAGCTTGAAAAATTTTTAAAATAACTTTTTTGTCCAATACACTTTTTGCCCAGCTACTCAGGAAGCTGAAGCAGGAGGATGGCAAATTTGAGGCAAGCCTGGGCAACTTAATAAGACCCTGTCTCAAAACAGGCTGGGAAGGGGGTGGGATATAGCTCAGTTGGTAGAGTGCTTGCCTTGCATGTACAAGGCCCTGGGTTCTATCCCTAGAACATACAAAAAAAAACCAAAAAACAAAACAAACAAACAAAAAAACAAACAAACAAACAAACAAAAAAAACTCAAAAGGCTGGGCTTGTAGCTCAGTGGCAGAATGCTTATCTAGCCTGTGCAAGGATCTGGGCTCAATCCCCAATACTGAAAAAAACATTGTTTTTCTGTTTTAATGTTTCCACAAAGTACTAGAAGGGCCTCCATTTAAGATAAATAGCTGTTCTGGATGTGGTGGCACATGCCTATAATCCCAGCAACTCAGGAGGCTGAGGCAGGAGGATTCTAAGTTCAAGACCAGCCTTAGCAACTTAGCAAGGCCCTAAGCAGCTTAGTTAAACCTTACCTTAAACTTAAAAAAAAAAAAAAAAGGGCTTGGGATGTGGCTCAGTGTTTAAGCGCCCCTGGGTTCATTCCTAGTACCACAAAAAAAAAAAAAAGAAAAAGAAAAAGAGAGATAAATGACTCTTCTGAGAAATCATTATGAACTTTGGAATATATCTTATTTTCACAGAACTCAGGTGTTACTGGAATGGGCTACACAGGTTTGGAGTAATGAGAAGCTAGGGACAGGGTCCCTGGAAGGGGTTTAGAGACCAACTGTGCTAAAAACAGTTGGACCTCTCCTCAGGAGGTCCACTCAGGCTCTCAAACACCCCGTCCTGAGGCCTGGGATCTTCCAAAAAGGAGCCAAGGGCCAGGAGGAGTCTGTGAGCAACTCCTTCTTTCAGCCCTTGGAGGCAAAGGCTGTGCACTGAGGACCTGCACCTGCTCTGCCTTACCTGGCCTGGGATGGAATTCTGAAGCCAGCTCTTAACTTTGATATTGTCAACTTGGAAGGTACATTCTGCAGGCAACTCCAGACAGAATCACTGGGGGTGGGGGTGTGTGCTGAGTAATAAATGGAAGGTGACCCAGCTTCAAAATCAGACTTCTGGGGACAAAGGATGGAGTCTCAGAAGCTTCAGTGCCATCTCTCCATGATGCTGCTGCTGTTCTTCATACACACATAAGAAACAGGGGAGCTGAGCCTCAACAGGAGGTTCTAAATAGCCACCTACAACAGCCAGTCTTCTGCTTCAGGTCCCACACTCACCAAAGCTCTGCCAAAGCTACTCTCCTGGACACAAAGGCATAATATCTGCCTACATAAAATCAGACTAACCTGTCTGCCTGGGACAGCACAAGTGTCTGAAGATGTCAAAGGGATAAGCTTCAGTGAGATTTGGCAAATGACTACATCACTCCAGGTTCTCTTGCTTCTAGAAGATTCATCTAAAAACAGGAAAAGCAAATACTACTTTATTAAAACACCGAATGAAAATTAAGAACTATAATGCAAAACCAAATGGGCAATACTGTTTTGAGAAAATGCCTGGGGGAGGCTTTCATTTTTGTGTGTAGTAAACACACACAAAAATTGCCGTTTTAACCACTGGTGAGTGTACAGTTCAGTGGTGTTAACTACCTTCACACAGCTGCACAACCAGTGTCACATTCAACTCCAGAAACTCCCCTGATTAAACACAGACTCCCTCCCCCATGCCCTGACATCCCCCATTCTACTTTCTGTCTCCAAGAATTCAGTTGCTCTAGGTGCCTCACAGGAATGAATCATCCAATATTTATACTTTTACGACTAGCTTATTTTACTTAGCTAGATGTCCTCAAGGTTCATCTCTGTTTTAGTACATACAAGAATAAAGGCTCAATAATATTTTGTCATATGGACAGACCACTTTGTTTACTCATTCATCTGTGGATAGACACTTAGGTTGCTTTTACCTTTTGGCTATTGTGAATACTACTACCATGGACTTGGGTGTACAAATATCTGCTGAGTCCCTGCTTTTAGTCTTTAAGGTCTATACCCATTGATATGTTTTTAGAGGGGCTTCCCCATAGAAAAAATTAATTAAAACAAGTTTTTCTGACAAAAACACTAAAATATAAAAGTGATTTTAATATGTCCCATTGGAAAACCATGTTCACAGTAAGATTAGGCTTGTGTCACAACCTGTACCCTCTTCTTAATAAGGACACCCCTTAAAAGTAGTTGTGGAGTTTGCTCTGTCTTGGGAGTAGCAGCAGCAAGGGTCCCTTCTTCCTCTGCTCAGAAGGCTATGCCCCAGGCCACCTGCACACCCACAGCCACAGTCAGGCCACACTCCACAATCTCCCATGTCTGAGTTATCTATGTACTCTAGAGCCTAAGCTCACAAACACTGGAATAACCCCAGGCCTATCCTGTCTGGGTGAAAAGAACCAGGTCCTTCTGACAGCAATAAACATGTTTATAAAGAGAGGGGCAGAAAAGCGCCTTCAATTGCCTAGCCCCAGACCTAGGTTGAATATTAAACTGAAAACTCCAGAAGTGATCTCTATACTTGGCAGAGAGTTCTTTTAGCAAGTTGCAGATGCAGAGTGGTGAGCTGCAGCAAGAAGTCCAGGATCACACTGGATCAGAGGGACACAGAGGCAATGAGCCCCCATTCCATGTCCCTTCCTTCTCCCCACATCTGACTCAAAAGGAAAACATGATGCTTCTAGGCCCCAGCAACCAGGTTCCCAATGACCTCCTCAAGGCAGCTATTTTTTTTTAGTTGTTGATAGACCTTTATTTTATTTATTTATATGTGGTGCTGAGACTCGAACCCAGTGCCTCACACATGCCAGGCAAGTATGCTACCATTGAGCCACAACCCAAGCCCCCTCAAGGCAACTATTAAAGACAAGTATCTTCCTTTGGTTTCAAACAAAATGAAACATTTTATTAGGTAAGTGATATATGAAAGCAGAATCACAATCACAAAAGGTTAGGTAAGACCAGATTATAGAGTTCTGTTTAAATTACCTCTCTAGTTCTATCCTCCTTCTATGGAAAGAGAACAACCAACACTTTGGTATACAGCTTTCAAAACTAACTTCCTTCCTTCCTTTCTTTTTTGTACTGGGGATTAAACGCAGGAGTATTTCACCACTGAGCTACATCTTCAGCCTTTTTTAAAAAAGACAGGGGGCTGGGGTTGTAGCTCAGTGGCAGAGTATTTTCCTCACACATGTGAGGCACTGGGCTCGATTCTCAGCGCCACACTAAAAAAATTTAAAAAATAAATAAAGTTATTGTGTTCACCTACAACTAAAAATATATATATATATTTTTTTAATATTTATTTTTTAGTTATCGGTGGACACAACATCTTTGTATGTGGTGCTGAGGATCGAACCCGGGCCGCACGCATGCCAGGCGAGCGTGCTACCGCTTGAGCCACATCCCCAGCCCGCAAAACCTTTTTCTTACATATTCACATGCATACAATTAAAACTGAGTTAGCCAGGTACAGCGGCACAAGGCTGTAATCCCAGCAACTCACAAGGCTGAGGCAGGAGGATCACAGGTTCCAGGTCAGCTTCAACAACTTAGCAAGACACTGTCTCAAAATATAAAAAAATAAAAATGGCTGGAGATGTAGTTCAGTGGTCAAGTGCCCCTGGATTCAATCACCAGCATCACAAAAACATACACACACAAAAACCAAAGTTAAAATTCCCGCTGCCCCCCTACCCCCCATACTGAGGATTGAACCCAGGAACTTTTTCTCCCCTCAGCCTCCTGAGTAGCAAGGATTACAGGTGTGTGCCATCTTGCCTGGTTGAGTTAGATCTTTCTTAAACTGGTCACTGGGACAGGGAAATAAGGGGAGGTAGGAAACTCATCAACAACATAAAATGAGCCTGGCTTGCACACCCACACTTTGTGGAGCTTTTTTGTTTGTTTGTTTAGTGGTGCTGGGATTGAACTCAGGGACTTACACATGCTAATCATATGCGCTACCACTGAGCTACAACCCCCAGCCCAACAAGGTGAATCTTTATAGCTACAGTGACTCTTTCCCTGTTGGTCCACCAGCTGGACTGCTGCTGTTACACAACATTACATGCTTATTTCCCTAGCTCCTGACAAAGGTGCCATACCCAGCATTCACCCTGGTGGCCAGGGAGAGAGAAGGGAAGCAGAAGCTAAAGAATGGGCCATCTGTGCAGGTAAACAGGTCTGGTTGCAAAGTTCACCTCTGACATTTATTTGCTTAAGCCCTGCATCTTCCTTATATTGCAGTGGCCTAATCTGTAAAATAGAGCTAATAAATAACATTGACCCCACAAAAGTTTTTGTTTCTAGGCAAAACCTGTGGGTTGAGTTTTGCCTCTGGGCTCACTAAAGTACAGGTGATGTTGGAGTGACACAGCAAAAACAATGCATCCTCCTATGCCCCCATGCTTGGGCAGCCCAGGATAGACAGCCAGGCTGTTGGACACACAGTAGTGCGGGACTCTGCATAGGCACTACTGGCTATTATATGATTTTCTTGGCCACCATAGGGCAGAGAGTAGTTTCTCACCTGAAACACCCCTCCTCAAGTTCACAGCAGGGGTCTCCCAGGGCTGGGTCTCCAGGTAGCAGCTCCGGCCAGCCCCAGCTGTCTGCAGCTTCCTGAGCTTGGAATGGTAGAAGCACTGCCTTTGTCCTTAGCTTTGGGCCTCACTGGCAGTTCCAGGAAAGTAAGAAAAGTTCCACTTGACACCCTGTGAGACTGGGAGCTAGAGTAGTGTCAGTTTCTGACTGTGGGGGCTCCCCACAGAGTACCTGCGTGGCAATGGCAACTTTACAAAGGGTCTGCAGTTTGGATACCTCCTGAGAAATGACATATGAGCCACAGAGATAAGGAGGCAGCCAGGAAAAAAGCCATGGAAAGGGTTCTGGGGATAGCTAAAAAGGCTTCTGTCAAGGCCCGAAGGCAGGAAGGAGCTCCAGGGAGAGAACAATGCAGCTGGCAGGGCAGCCAAGAGCAGGGAGACTGTGCTCAGGGACTGGGCATGCAGAGGAGGAGTCCGGGTTTTACTCTAAGCCCAATGGGAAGCAGAGAAGGGTATGATCCATCTGATGTTTTTGTTGTGAGGATTAACTAGGACTGTTTATAGGAAGCACTCTGCCAGTGTGGCACACCAGGGCCGCTCTGATGTTTCCAGGGCTTTCCCACTGTAACTGCTCCTCAGGGTCCAGGCCTGGCACTCAGCAGATGCTCAGGAGTGTCCAGGAGTGATGCCCCAGTGGGCCAATGCTGGGGTCAATCCTGTAGAGGGTGCAGCATGGGAGTCAGGTGGGCAGCTCTCCCACAGGCCAGGTACAGATCCCAAGCTTGAGTCTGATGATGGTTCCCCCCAGGTACCTCTTTCAATTGCTACACTTTCCTTTCCTGCCATGCACTTCCTCTTTCCCCACCCTGTAAGCCTCCTCAGTGACACTCATGGTCTTTTCCTCATCAACATGGTGCCTATTTGATAGTTCAGGATACCTGAAGATGGGAAGCAAGTGTTTGTGCGTGTGTGTGTGTGTGTGTGTTACTGGGGATAAAACCAAGGGCCTTGCACATGCAAGGAAAGCACTTTGCCACTGAGCTAAATCCTCAGCCCTTCAAGTGTTTCTTAAAAAGGAAAAAAAAGGTAGGTGGAAACAAAGTGCTTTTGATTTCCACAAAATGTTATATTGCTACATCAGGTGATTTCTCCAGGTGATGCTCCCAACCAGTGATCCCACTGTGTCCTTTGGGTCCGCCAAGGGTGAGGCCAAAGGCTTAAGGGCCCCTTAAATATCTCCAGGCTCACAGCCACATGGCTAGGCTTCTCTAGAGAGGAGCATTCCTATGAGATACTTCTGCCACGAATCCCCCACAGCAGCCTCAAATAATCCCCAGATCTTTCCTCCACAACAAACCCCCTACAGAAGTTAGGGCAGGAAGGAGGAAAAATGGATGTGGGAGAAAGGACAAGCCTTATTACCAACAGTGGTGCGGAAGATTCCCAGGACCAAGGCTGGTGCCTCTGTGCGAGTAGACTACCCCCCATCTCTGGAAGCTGCAGAACAAATTTCACCGCTGCTGGCCATACAGTCACTTGGCTTCATGGTCCACCTCTAACTGTGAGTTCAGCTGGATGGTTCAGGTATTTGCTCTAATTCACAGATGAGGAAAGTGGGATTCAGACAAGTACTGGAGGATCCTCTTGCACAGGAAGGATGACCCTAGTCTGCTGAACCCTCTAGGGTCCAGGAGCCCTCCCCACAGTTGCCAATTCCCTCTGAGGTACAGGTCACCCTATATGATCAGTGTTCTCCTTGGCAAATTCAGGATCCATTTCTCAATACCATAAAGCTGTCCCAAAACACTGCTTCAGAATCCAGGGAGTCATGAGAACTCTGCATTTCTCACCTCTTACGTAGAGATCATGACTTTCCCAGACAGTTGGATTTGAAAACAAACTCTCATGTGACAAAAAGAGAACCACAGAGTTAGCCTTGGTGACTACATCTTAACACTCATCAACACTGGGAGCTAAACCTCCCTTCCTGGCTCTCTCTCCCATTTCTGGTCACTGGACAGAGGGGTCAGCAACAATCATGGCTCTCTTTGCCCCAGACTTATTCATTCCACAAACATTTAGTGAACTACCTCTTTCATGATGGGCCCTGAGGGGGAAGTGAAGGTGCTCTAGAGGACACACACAATCACAACTGATGCAGGAAATGCTGGAAGTGGCCAGGCAGGGTACTGGGGAACATCTAGAATGGATGCTGACTAGCACTTGAGCTATAGAAGAGTGATGGTACCCAAGTTCATAAAGATGGAGGGTGATTCTGGAATGGTTTGCATGGAGCACCAAGGGACAGCACTGTAGGAGAAGTGGGAGAGGCAAGGGAAAGCTGGAGGACTGGGTGGGTGGTACTGAGTGGCTGAAGGTGGGAGAGGAAGGAGGCAGTATCCTCACGCAAGGGGCACAAAGAAAGGAGAAGCAGAACATGACACCTCAGAAAAATTCAGAAATACCCTCCTGGAGGCTGTGGAGAAGTGGGATTGGAGAAAGGTAGACAGAATCCAGCTAAGACATAGGGGGCTGACATACCTGGGCAGGCACATATATGGTGGGCCCTAGAGTCTGGATAGGAGTGGATTCAGGCAGACAGAACAGCCTGATGGTGGGGGCAGGGACCAGGTCACTCAAGGGCTCTAGGCTAAAGGGCAAGCAGTAAACACAGAACTCCAGCCCAGGGAAACTCTACTTTGGAGTATTAAGTACCAGAATTTTTTTGTTTTAACAATAACAGGGATTGAGCCTAGGGGTGCTCTGCCACTAAGCTACATCTCCAGCCCCCCAGGCCCTGGTATGGGAAAATCAAATCAGGATCTTAAGCATGTTAGACAAGTCCTCTACCACTGAGCTACATCCTAGCTCCTATTTTATTTTTTTAATTTTGAGACAGGGTCTTGCAAAGTTGCTCAGGCTGACCCTCAACTTGTGATCCTCTTGCCTCAGCCTCCTAAGTAGTTGGGATGTACCACTGGGGCCTGGCTAAGTACCAGTTTCAATGAGACGCTTTTTAAGCAAACACCAGAGCTGCTCAGTTGACCTCACAGCATTGGATCTCCTAGGAGACGTGCAGCTCACTGCAGTGGTCCTACACACACCCAGACGCTGAACCAGACAGGCACTCAGCTCACTAGAACTCCAGTTTGAGGAGTTAGCACCCTAGGCCTGGGTCCCTACCCAACACTTTGACCACAGGAACAAGCTGACCAGGACCCAGCATGTGGCCCTGCTGAACCTTAGTCACTGTGTCACCGAGCAGGGAGGGGTATTAGCTGCCACTCTGTTCAGTGCTTCCTCTATAGCCTGAGCAATCCCCTCGTGCATTCTGGGGAAGAAGAGGGATGACAGGATGAGAACAGGAGAGGAAGTGAGGCTGGGGGTCTAGCCTAAGCATGTGGGGAATCTGTATGCCCAGAAGATGCCATGGGAACAACAGAAATTAGGGGCACCCTTGCCAGTGGAGACTCCACATAAGAAATGCGCGCTCCTCTCAGGCAGGTTCCCCTAATGGAATTCAAAGCATGTACATGTTCCACACAGCCCCTCAACCTTGTTGAACATTGTGGGCAGGAAAAACAAAAAGAGCCCATGGAGGGTAGTCTCTGGACAGCTAAGGAGATGCAGAGGAACCCACCAGTGCCTCACATCCTGTCTGGTACTGATCACACCTCCTAGGCCAGAGAACCACAGAGCTGACAAGCCTCATTCCAGCCCTGAGGTGTGCCCTATGGAGATGAGGAAAACACACCTTTAAGTGTTTGCTGTCTGAAAAGGAGATGCTCAGGCTGCCAGGGATGCCCCCAGCAGTGGGCCAGGTGAGAAATGGTGGAGGAGGGCATATTTGATGGCTGAAAGGAGAGGTACCAGGCAGGTGGGAAAGCTTGGAAGGGTGTCTGGGGAGGCAGCAGGTAGGAAAGAAGGTGGTGGTGGGGAATATCCCATCCACTCTGAGGCAGGGAGGAAGAAGAGGGCTGGAGGAACATATTGGATAGCCAGAAGGGGCCATGGCAGGGGTATAGGTGTGAAAGCAGACCTGGAGCAGGACACAGAACAAATGGCAGGGAAGAGGAAGAGGGCAGAGGTGGCTGCTAGCACTTAAGGGCAGGTAGGGAGTGGCCTCCTTTTCCCCCCACAGTGCTGGAGATTGAACCCAGGGTTTCACACTTGCCTTGAGCTACATTTCCAGCCCAGGAGTATCCCTCTTGATGCAGGGATGAACCCAGTCCCATTTCATCACAAGGTCCCCTTCCTCCCACCCACCCAGGAGAGGCCAGGGATAAACCTCCAGAAGCACAGACCACCTCAAGACACTGTCAGTAATCCTGGGCAGAGCCTCAGGGTAGGGTGGACACTAGTCCTTCCCCCAGGCCTCATCTCTGGGACAGAACAGGACAGGGCAGAGCAGAGTGGGCCTAGAAAGGGGCCCACTGGCTTAATCCATCCACCCTACTACACCCATTCTTTCCAGACCTTCCCTCTTTTTTTTTTTTTGATACCAGAGGTTAAACCCAGGGATACTTTACCACTGACCTATATCTCCAACCTTTATAATATTATTTTAAATATTTTGGGCTGGGGATGTGGCTCAAGTGGTAGCGCGCTTGCCTGGCAAGCATGTGGCCCGGGTTCGATCCTCAGCACCACATACAAACAAAGATGTTGTGTCTGCCGTGAACTAAAAAATAAATAAATAAAAATAATAAATAAATAAATATTTTTTTAGTTGTAGATGGACACAATATTTTTTTTTTTTTTTTGGACACAATATTTTTATGTATTTATTTTTATGTGGTTCTGAGGATCGAACCCAGTGCCTCACATGTGCAAGGCAGGCATTCTACCACTGAGCTGCAGCCCCAGCCCTTGATTTTTTTAAATAAATATATATTTTTTTAGTTGTTGATAGACCTTTGTTTTATTTATTTATATGTGATGATGAGAATCGAACCCATGCCTCACACATGCCAGGCAAGTGCGCTACTGCTAAGCCACAGCCCCAGCCCTAATTTTTAATTTTTGAGATAGGATCTCATACAGTTTCCAAGGCTGGCCTTGAACTTATGATCCTCCTGTCTCAGTCTCCAAGTCACTAGGATTATAGCCATCACCAGAACCTTCTCTTGAGTGCCTATTAGGTCTCTGGCACTGCTCTATGAACAGCAGATACAGAAACAAGACACCTGGTTGGACAGGCAGAAAACAGATTTGTAGACCCACTGACACAGAGAGGTAACAAGGGATGATTAGGCCACATCTAGGGAGCTGGTGAAGGTTCTGGAAACCCTTCTTAGAAGGTAGATAATGTGGCACTGGATATTGCAGGTATAGGACCAGCATACACAACGGCAGGGAAGACTTACTGTGTCCAGGTGACCACAGCAACTAACTTCCCTTGGGGTGTCTCTAAAAGAGTGTGAGTAAACCACTGAGGCCCTTATCCCACTGGAGCCCCAAACTCGTCCTGCTGGGGATAGGGCACCATTAGGGCACTGGGACAAGGAGGCACAGTCAAACTTGTGTTGCAGAAAGATTGATTGGTGGCAGCCTGGAGGGTGGATACAGAGGTAGCAGCCTTCAGAATCACTCAACTAAGGGGTGGTGTCTGGGGCAGGTTGATCAATAGGGTCTGCTGCATGTGGGTGGGGAGAGGCCCCACACCGGTACATTTAGCAAACAGTTGCCTGGAGAGTTCCCAACCCATTGACTGCCCAGTGAGAACCTAGGCTACACATGGGCAGGTAGTGACACTAACCAGACTGAAGACAGCTCCTGGTCTTCCCCAAACTTCCTTGCCTCGCCGCTCCACTTTTTGCCCCCTCTTCACTCCCACCTTCCTTTTTGCTCTGAAACCTGTCTAGGGCAAATTCTACCCCATGCCACATTATCATTCTCTCCCTTTCCCCTTCACATCTCTTATCTCTTCATTCACACCCAGGAACCACTTGACCCAGAGGTTGAATATTCATAAATACTCTCTCAATAGGGCACCACCCTCCTCCCACCCTTCAGCTCTAACCCTTATCTCCTAGCCCCCTTCCTTTACTCCCTATAGCTCAGTCTAGACATCACACCAAGCCCCAGCTTCCCCCCATCCTGTCCTCCTGCTTCAGCTGCCTGAGGTGAGGAAGCCAAGCTAACACACGCTTCTCCATGCCTACACAGGAGCCACAGAGTGGGAAAAAAAAAAAAAAAATCAAGCTTCCTGCTCAGTGTGTTCAGTCTTTGGGGCTTCTTGGCAGGCCCTTCCTAGCTCACCTCTGGCACCCTCTCCTGTTCCCAGGTGCTGCTCACAACTTTATCCTACTACTCTTCCTTGAGAAAGCGAGGCTGCCAAGCAGAAGTTCCCTTTCTCTCTGGCCCTGTCCTTTAAATGCATGGGTCCAAGCCTAGGCCTTCCTCAGTCCAATCTTACTTCCTGGGGACCCTGACTCCCTGTACTCTCAACATTCCCTCTCTGTTTAGGCAGGCCTGAGACTGTACTCCAGCTCTCTCTTTTCTCCTTCCTTCAGAGTAGAACTGCCGGCAACAGCAGGCTGCATTCCCACCCCTCCTGTCTTGAGGACTCCATACTTGGTTGCCAGGTCTAATGGACACTTTGGTTCCTTATCTTGCTTGCTTCCCATATCCTGGGCTCTCCTCACCTTTTGGGCTTCTGTCTCCCTCAATGTCATTTCTGCAGAAGTACAGCTTCTTCTCAGCCTAGAAGCCCCATGTGAGCTCCAGTCCTATACCTGAAGCTGCTTCCCAGGCATCTGCTAAACATTTCCTGACCTTCCTGCTCCACATGCCTTCAACACAACTCAGCTCTGACTCCCAGCACTTCTGCCCAGCCTGGGACTTGACTAGTCCCAACCCTTCAATGGAGATCTTTCCTGTCCCTGGCCCTTTATGTCCTGGCCCCTTCCTGCTTCTCCACGGCAGTTACAGAAGCCATAGCCACAAAGCACCAACCACAGTACCATGCTACACTCAAAAAAGAATATTCCTGAGTGGAGGAAAGACAGGACACATCTGCCCCTCTTCTCCTTTCCCTGCTGACTCTGGTCATACCTTCTTCATGGCCCTTCAGTGACTTCTCTGACAGGGTTAAGATCTCCTTGTCCAAATCTGTTTCAAATCCTTATCCACACCTCCTTGCCCAAATCTTTTTCCACTCTCAGCACACTGAGGTGTTACAGTAACTTGCTTATACATGCTGTTCTACTATACTGTGACTTCTGTATTCAGTGTCACACTATACCCAGTGTGCCCTGGAAAGGGGAAAACCAGAGAAGAAAAAAGAGAAGCAAGAAAAATCTGCAAATTATTTAGTCCTAGGATGAAATTTAAATTTCAAAGGCTGAAAAACAACAGGGAGCCTTAGTCAACTTGTCCTAGGCAGTGACCTCCCTGGAAGGCATCTTCACGTGACAGGAAGGCAAGGTGTGCACAGCTTCTACCCCCCCCCCCCCAGCAGAGCACAGGAATTTCTCCTATGTTAATGGGGAATGGCACCCCAGAGTGACTACCAAGTAGCTGATTACAGGGAACTTGATAGTGGGCCCTTTGCTGGTGGCACACAATGGCGGGCACGTGCCAGGTACAACAAGGATATAACCATTAATGAGGTGTTAGTCACAGCATACTGGGCCAGCTGGCCTGCCTGCTGGCTAGAAGTTCAAATGCAAGTCTTAGGCTACATGTGGGATCCTGAATAGGTGAATCTCCAGCTTGGTTAGCCACTCCAAAAAGGTTCCCTGTGTCCCTTTCCTGGGCAGAACACATTTCTTGGTCTAATCTGACCTACCCATAGGAAGGGAGGGGCTGGGCTGGGGCTGGAACAGGACTCAGCTAATTCAGCATCTTTACCTTCTGAGCTCTAAGGGTCTGCCAAAAAGTCAGTCAGGGAAAAATACTCCCCCATCAGGGCACATGGAAAAGAACTCATTCAAAAGTTAGTAGCACATAATTTTGACAGGTCTGAGTTCCCAGCAAGGTGCCCGAGTCAGGTATGCCCTGAAGGCCAGGAGCTCAGGTTCTCCACAAAGACCTTCAGACCTAATAAGACAGCAAGACAGCTAGCCAAGATGGAACTGTGTGAACTTAATCATTTTAATAGGCATTCAAGATATACTTCCTGCATGCCAGGGTCCCAAGTGCTGGAGGACAAAGAGGTGGTACCGGTTCTAGCTCTCAGGGAGCCCAACACAGGGTATCTGGGTCCCTATCCACAAGGAAAGAAGGCTCAGGGAAGGTTTCCTGGAGCCAACACCTGCATTAGCTGGGTTTTGACAGGTAAGGAGGACTTAGCTCCAGGAAGTGACACAGACAGCATGGGCAAAGGACAGAGCCACAAAAGACAGATCTAATTCAGAGTCCGGGAGCTGTTCAGGAGGAAGGCACAAGTCTGTGGGCATCTTTTGTGGCTTAGGTGAAAAGACAGTTCTATAATCGAGTTTACAGGCTTCAAGAAGCCAAAGGGTCTGAATTTACTGGGCTGCCAATTAAGGACAGTTCCCTTTCATGCTGGAAGCAAGGTGGGG